TCCGATGCTGGCCAGGCGGCCATCTATTACAGTCAGCTTATCTAAAGCTTCTTCAATCGCGGCATGCAATTCTTTGTCGTTGGCAATAATCCTGGCCAACATTTTAGCCTTCATGATGCTGCTGACTTCCGGGTTGGAGGCGACGGTCATTTCAAAATAAAGACAGAAGGCTTCGAACCAGGTTCGCCATTTATCTTCTGATTGCCACCCATAGCGGATTACCCATTGCAGACAGCCCAGCTCATTAGGGAAGCTTTGATACATCCCTTTTAGCTCTTCAATAATTTCCTCTGGTAATTCCTGCCGGATGCATTCCATATTTTCATCCATATCCAGTTCATCATTCCAGTTCAGCAAATATTCCAGATCCAGTGTTACTTTGCTGGCAGGTACCGGTTGCTCTCCTTTCATCGTCCGGTCTGCCGAACGGATCAGCCATTCCTTCAGCTCTACCAACATGCAGATGGAATCCCGCCGCTCAGATTCATGGGAATACAGATAGTAAGCTGGCAATCCACATTTTTTTCGCAGCAGATAACGCTCAATTTGCGCCTTGGTCTTTGCTAGCGGCGCCTGGTCTTTTATGGCATCCGCCCAGCAGCTATCTGTTTGTTTAATGGTTTCCGCACAGGCATCGGCAGTGGCAAGCAGGAGGGCACGGCGTATTGCCTGTTCTATATAATTCCTGATTTTGGGCTGGAGATCGTTTAACGCCGCTTTTTTCTTTTTGACGTATAACATGGCAATGGCCCCTTTCGCCACCTTATCGTAGCCCTTACCTACGGTTTTATCCATAAAGGAATGGCTGCTCTTGTCGATGAAAGTTACGGCCTGGTCTAGTAATTCTGTATAGGGCATGGCATTTTTATTTATTGGTGTAGGTGAATATCAGTAATGGTATCTGCGAGTTGTTCGTATGCCGGCCTAAGTAACGCGAGCGCAGCGGCGCGCTCATGAACCATTGATTCCGGTGTAAACCGGTCCCTGCTGGCGATACGTGCCAATGCGGTTTCTATAGGGATGTGTAACCAGTACATTTGCACATAGTAGCCTTCAACTTCCTTGAGTCGCCGTATCAATTCATAGTTTTCTTTACGGGCAGCACCCATATCTAGGATGATATCCAGATGCAGGCTGATAGCGGTTTCTAACAGGTCATCAGCCAATGCGCGTGCCGGTATTTCCCAGCGGCTGAATGCGGCAACGGCACCATGTACAAGGTAGTCTTCCTGGTAACCCGGCAAGGCTTCCATCACAAGGTCGGGGTTGAGTATAAAGGCATCCGGCGGAAACTGTCCGTTTTGAATGGAAGCTTTTACATAAGTGCTTTTGCCCGCTCCCGGAATGCCTGCCATTGCATAAACCGTATTACTGCTGCGCCCCTTTGCTGTTGCCGGTTTTAAAAAAAGCTGATGGATGTTACGGCGGCAATCATCACTGATGATTGCTTTTACTAAATAGGGC